AGAAAAAAAAGGCCCCAAAGGGGCAAGGAAAGGAAAAATAGGCCAATAAAAGGGCCAAAAGGGGGCTAAAAAAAGTGAAAAAGTGGGGGAAAAAAAAAAAGGCCATGAAAGAGCCAATTAAAAGGGGGAAATAAGGGCCAAAAAAGAGGGGAAATAAGTAAAAAAAGATGCAAAAAAGGGGGGGAAAGGGGGCAGAAAAAAAAAAAAGGAAAAAAAGAAGGGGGGAAAAGGCAAAAAATGAAAGGAGGGGAAAGGCAAACTAAGAGGAAGAGAAAGCAAACAGGGCCATGGAGGTGGAGCGCAGGTTGGTGCTGTGTGGGTCAGAGGGGCAGCACTGCAGGACAGCCATAAAGCAGCAGCTGCGTGCTTCCTTCAGCCCCAGGAGCTCATTGTGACACTTCCAAGACCTCCCAGCTCAGCCATCCCAAAAAAGCTGTAGAGGATTTACTGTGGCTCGCTGCGTAACAACATCCGTATTTATGGCGGCGGTGGGGGCTGTGTTTTGCAGGTGGACTGCAAAAATGTGGAAACGTGGGGTGAAATACAGCTGTTTGTGCCTTTATAGAGCTCCAGATGGAAGAGACCTCACAGGTCATCCAGCTCCAACCCATGGGCTGAGTGCCCCCACCAGCTCACGCTGCCCCATTTGTGGCCTTGGATACCTCCAAGGATGGGGCACCTGCACTTCTCTTGCTTGGGGGTTGGTTGCATGGCAGTGAGTGGGAGGCACTGCAGATGGCAGCAGGAGAGGAGCCGCCAGCTCCATGTGTCATCACTGCCACTCAGCCCCGAGCCTGGCAAATATAGCCAACAATGTCATTGTTGCTAGGATTTTTGGGCTCCGGGTGGTGATGCCCAGAGAGGGCTGGCCATGAGGAATGGTGTTGTCTGCATGGAGAGGAAGGAAAGTGCGTGGGGTTGTGGGCAGTGCCTGGGGCTCAGCCCTCGAGTTGTTGGAGTTGGAGCCCCAGCCCCGAGATCCAAACCCATAGAACTGCCCCAACATCAGAGAGCAGCATCCAGAACCCAGAACATGTTGCACACTGGAGATCCAAACTCACCCCCAGCACCAAACCATCCAACCCAAACTCACCCCCAGCACCAAACCCAACCACAGTGTGGTGCTGGGAGGAGCCCTATTGAAAACCCACACCTCTCGCCAATGTTCTGCTCCACAAAGCCACCATCTGCTCCCATATAACCCAAACTCAGCACACAGACCTGGTGGGGGCACTGGTTTTTTTGGCAGCTGCAAGCAGGCACAGCCCCATGCCAAGGGGCTGCAGCAGCACACATCAGTCATTCCCATCCCCCTCCCTGCAAAACGGGGGCTTCTAAGAGGTGATGTCCCCTATCCACACAGGGATGAGGAGGCAATTAGTCTCTGTCTCATTAAGGGCTGACCC